CTGCACTATTCTTTGATTACTCAGATCTTCACCATAACTTCTCATTTGGTTAATCAGATCAAACAATATAGCAATATACACAGAGAGTGATTCATTTTCATTCATACGAGTATACTCAAAATCCCACCGAAGACCTTGAAGTTTCACAAATCTTACTTGTTTATCGCCAACAAATTCTTGTTTCAAAATGTCCCCCGCAACCTTTGCACTTTCCTGAGTTGCGATCCTTGGAAAATTTTGATCTGAAACAGCACCTTGGATGATTATAAGTGCTCTAGCATTCTTGACTACATTCTCTTGCATCAGCTTCTTCTTCGCCTCTGTGAGCTCTTCCTCCTTCTTCATCGGAGTATCATAACCCTTTTCAACTAGATTCCACAGTTCGTGTGAACGAAAAATGGTCTTTATTTTGATTTGCCAGAAATCAAAATTCTTACCATTGAAGGCTGGTGCTCTGAGTTCTCCTCTTGCAGATCCAGCCATGTTAGACTAGACCATAGATACAAACTCGAATCACTGCAATGAGCTTTTGCCGTGAATCCGAGCTCAATCCTCCACATATATGACGCCCAAAAAATTCAGACCCAACCTGGGTCTGATGCCATGTTAGCGAGTTAGATTCAAACAGAGAATTTTGATGATGATTATGGAAGAATGCTCAGAAAACTTGAAGAAAGAGGAAGAAGAATTCTGATAAAAAATACAAGACAAAATTTCGGCATATTGAGCATATGAGCTCATACAAGACAAAATACTGTTGAGAGTGAAAGAGCGAGAGATATACAACTTAAGGTTCAATCTCAGCCATCCATTCTATAAGACACTGAGATTAGAACACTTGTCACGTATCAAGCCTTATGAGACTTAACTAACACATTACATTTTAATCACATAAGCTCAACCTAGGGATGGGCAAAATATCCATGGGTTTGGATAACCGTGATTACCCACCCATTTAAAGTTTACGGTTATGGTTATGGGTAACCGTTTAGACAAACAAACGGTTATAGGTATAACCATTTATCCGTGAAATTTAAATGGACGGTTATGGGTATTACCCGTGGTTATGATGGGTATCCATTGGTTATAGGTATTACCTACAGTTATAACCGGTATCCATTTACCCATTTAATTTAATATATGTAAAATTAAAAATAAAAAATTAAAAAAATTAAAAACACTAAATTTGAAATTAGCTTGATGGCTTTTAGTAGGGATACTGTTAAATCTCGTTGGTGAAGGGAATGGATTCTATTTGACAACCAAATTTTATATTATAGTTTTCACTCAAATCGTGTTAATTTCTCATGTGGCTATGGAGGTTATCTTCGGGATTTGGGACACATATTAGAACATAAGTGCAAATAATTGTCGTACCAAAAAATTACCAAATGATAACATTACGTGACGTTGGACTGAAAAATTACTTGTTAGAAAAAAGAAACGTTATCCTAATTTCTATGGTCGAAGATAACGCATTCTCCAATGAAGCATTTTCTATGCTGCTGAAAGAACACCAAAATTAGATGTGCTTTACATGAACAACTAATTAATGAGACGGGAAATCGTACACTGTCCCTAAATCTTCATTTTACAGCACCCTTCAGAAATCCCAGCATTGTCTAGATTACTTTATTTTTGTTTTTTTACTTTGGAGTTATTGGTGATACTAATTCAATTTATGCATATGGGTGTGTGAAAAATCATGAAATGTAAACCTTCTATTTATACATATTGATGAATGGTCATACTAACTCAATTGATTTGGTACTTGGCTTTTGTTTGGGTGTAGCAGAAAAATATCATTCATAAACTATTATTTCAATTATTGGAATTGTACGAGGACTTAAATGATTAAAATAGGAAAATGCATGCTAAAATGTACCTATAATGGTGTTTAATTGCCAGAAAACGAAAATTATGACAAATTTTTCTTTTGTAATTTTCAAGTTGTTAAAAAAAAATGTAGACGGGTGAAAAAGGGGTATATGGGTAAAAAAAGGATAAACGGGTTCAAAAACGGATAAAAGGCTATGGTTAAATGGGTACACAGTTATGGGTATGGTTGACTGTTTATAAACGGTTATGGGTATGGGTATAACCGTTTATGTAATTACCCAACGGGTAAACAGTTATGCGGGTATGAACATAAACGGTTATGGGTAAATAATCGTATTACCCATCCACCATATTCGTTGCCCATCTCTAGCTTAGCCTATGAGCTAAGCATTGCGCTAATTAAAACTTGTAATCTTCTTCACATCAGTTCACCAATTTACATATCAACAAAATCTACTGTAATCTCAATTGAAGAATATTTGATGTTCCAATCTTGACTGATTCCGACTCTCTGGTCTAATTCAAATGCTGAATTATGAGAGTGGTTTTGAACGAGTTGAAGGATCTTCCTCTGACTCCACATATATCATTGCAACATATCCCAACATCCACAACAAAATGTATTGAAATGGTACATACGATACGCATGCAGAAACACTCAAAATGCTCCCCACATACTGAGGAACTTTTATGTACCCAAATGAAAATTTTGTCACCCAGGGAATGTTCTTCCCAAAACGTACTCCATAATACGTACCAGATTCACCGAGCAACTGATAGACCCTACAAATTGACAGGAAAATTATTAGTTATATAACTCAAACAATCGATTTTTTAAAGAGAAAACCCCAACTGCAGACCTCTTGGTCTGACATAAATCACAGTTGCATTGAATGTTAAGGTAGTACTCTGATCACCAAGTTCTTATATGTTTTAATTAATCTTTTAAATATTCAGCACTTTTGGTTCTGGTCACATACAACGGAAATATAGGCTACAATTACATCAAGCAATTTTCATTGTACTTGAAATTCAATGGATATAGTAATGAGTCCACCGTCGGGACTATCTTACAAGGCCCTAGTTTACTCTCATTATTCTTCCCACTTCAGACTTCATCTATTTCAACTGCTGCCGATAATCTTCAGCGTGATGACCGCACAATAATGCATACAGCACCAGTTTGCTCCAATTATTTTGTTGAAGTGCAAAAGCATGTTGGTATCAACAGAAATTTTACAACAAAATGCTGAAATAGTTTATTAAATCTTTATAGTCAAGAATAATTTTGACTAGAAGCAAATCAGTGTCCTCTTCTCCTTATTTCCCTCTTTGTTGCACTACCTTAGAAAACATACCTTTTCTTTTCTTTTTTCCATTGGGGTAGGGAACATAAAACTTAACTTAAAGTTCTAACTAACGAGGATCTTAACACAAATTATTTGTTGTTCAATCAAGCAGAAATTACCAAGGGAACATCAATAGGAACTGGACGTCAGGTCAACGGCGATGAACTAAACACCAGTTCTAGCACATTAATTTTTCCAACATGATACTACTAAAAAAAATCATTACAATTGAAATGCAGATATTATTTTTGTCCCAATCCCACTCTTTCCTTTCCCATTACACCATGAAGCAAAATAATTTCACTCCTATGAATTATATGATTTCATACGTTCAATGCAATCTTTTTTCTCTGTCAGGATTTCTACATATAAGCGCTTCCCTTCCCATGAACTAGAAAGAGCAGTCCATAGATACAGAATACAAAAGATGGGCTTCCAATGTCCCCCCATAACATTTAAGTAGCATTTGAAAAGGATATTCATAGAAATGATGAAAGATCCCACACACTATATCAATTCGAGCATCACAATCAACAGCTGAACCACGTTTGGTTTGGATTAAAATGCACCCTGATCTCCATATCCGATCATGAAAAATATACGTATCACAAAAAACCATAAAGGATATTCAGTTCAAGAGCAACCAAACAACCATAGCAGCAAGCTGCGCAGCATGACACATAACTATGACCAACATGAACATGAACTAATTAAGCATGATGAGATAGAATTTCTCAATCCTACTGTGTCATACAGATTCAGAACATGTAATCAATTGACTAATCAAACAGTTAATTCCTGCCATTAAAAGACAAAAAGAAAAAGCTTCCCCAACTACCTAATCAATGAACCCAAATTCCATAACATGAAAACACATCCAAATAAAATAGAAAAATGAAAACTACCCATGTCTTGAAACAAGAAATAAAAACACCAACAAAATGGACTAACCTGAAGTTGAGGAACTGGCCAAAGGCAATGAGGGGACAGAAGTAAAGAGGGGGAGGCCAAGAGAAGGTAGAGACTGAGAAAAGAGAGAGGAACTGAATCAGCTTCAGGAAAGGAGCCACATAGGCCATCACTTTGCACGGGTCACGCCCTTTCCCACACAGCTCTACCCATGTTTGTGGGTAACTCCACAACCAATAGTAGAATGGGAAGGGTGAAAGCACTCCTATTGCTGCTGCTATCCCCATTTTTCTTTTTTTTTTTTTTTTTTTTTTCACTTGATTCTCTCACTTTCTCAGAAAAATGGTTCCTTCTTCCTTCATGTGTGCCTCAGTGAATCTGAGCTCGTGTGTTCGAGTTGATTTTAATGTCGTACTGAGGCAGGTGGCAGGCCCATGCTTACAGCCCGATACTTAGCATGGCTTTGAGCTATCACATCTTCAGAAGCACATATCGGATGAAGGGGATTTGAAGTTTTGAACCTCGTATGCAAAAAGATCCACTTTTTAATTTGAGAATTTCATATGTATTTACCCATGATGTCGTCGATGTAGACCTCCATAGTTACTCCAATCTGCTGCTTCTTAAACGTCATGTTTAGTGGCAGAGGGAAGAAGGGACCAGGGTGGGGATAGGCCATCCTCACTTTACTTTTAGCATACTTGTTCTATACTGCAGTCTTTCAAATTCCACCGCCTAGGTCCCAACAAATCCGTTTCGCGTCCCAGTTTTTATACTAGTATTTGTATTTTACTCTGTCATCTATCTTGCAAATAATTTGTTTAAATTATGAATTTGTTTTTGTTAAATTGATCTATTGCAAGTTTTTTAATTGATTATCAAATTTGTTTTGAGTTTGTAGCATGAGCGAGTATTTTTGCTATATTATGAAGACCAACCTATATAATCAAAACCTATACAATTGAATGTGTGATTTGTGGACGAATAATTGTTTGGTTGCTTATATTGATGAAGATATTTAAATAGTACAGATGACGAGCCTATCATTATACAGTTTTAAAATATGAAAATTCTTCGAGTACAATTGTAATTGTTGTGAATTGGTAATACTATCGATGAATTTGTTATTTTGGACTCGTATCATATTATATTTTGTTTTTGTTTGTACTTTTGTAGATACTATCCGTTTAGATTTAATATTTTTAACATTTGGGGTAGTGTTATTCACACATCTTTTTTACATCTCACACACTCTTCTTAAACTGCCAGAAATTGAGAGATGTGTATGAGAGGTAAAAATGGATTTCTGGATAGGTAATCCACACATCCATTAAATTTATGAGAGGCCCCTCCTCACGTGAAATCTTGGCTCCGCCATTGATCATGTTTACCAGTCGCTGGTAAGTTGCTCCTACATTCTTGAGACCCAAAAGGGCATGACCCTATAGTAATAGGTGTTCCTCTAGATCATGAATACAGTCTTTTCCTTGTTAGGCTCCTACATGGCAATTTTATTGTAGCCTAGGTATGCGTCCAAGAAATTGAGCAGCTTGTTCCCTATAGCTAAGTCCACTGGTAAGACGATTCTGGTAACTAGATAGGGATCATTAGGGCATGCTTTGGTGAGGTCGGTATAGTCTATGCAAACTTGCCATTTGCCCTTCTCTCTCTCCATCACTAGCACGACGTTTGCCAACCATGCTGAGTGCGCTACTTCTTCAATGAATCCAACCTTCAATAGCTTGCCAATCTCCACCTCAATAATCACCACATGTTTAGGAGCGAAATGTCATCTTTTCTAGATCATTGGTTTGGTAGTAGGGTCGACGTGGAGCTTGTGGCAAGCTATCTTGGGATCTTGGAGTCGATGTCGGTCATGTTAGAATGCGACCATGTGAAAACATCACAGTTTTCCCTAAGGAAAGTCGTGAGTTCCTTATTTTCTGTCGGGCTTAGACGTTAGCCAATCCTAACCGTCTTCTCGAATTGCTAGGGATCACAAATGATGTACTCGGCATCTTCCTTGTGCACCTTAATGGCTTCTACTAGGGTAAAAGACTTATTCTTTGACTCATCCAAGACTTGTATAATGCATCATCGGGATGCAACTTCGTCTGACTTGATCTCTCATCCTCTTTTTCTCGAGATGCAAAATCAGATTTTCTGATACTCGATAGAGGTTACCCCACCCAACTTCATTAGCCAGGCCTAACCTAGAATCCCAATTTAGGGAAATGAGTCGTCAATGATCATGAATGTCCGCGAATAAACAATTGAAAGGGTTCTCAAGTCAAGCATGATGTTACCGACGACAATTGAAGTGTAGCCGTTGAATTTAGTAAGAACCTCTATTTAGCTTATGATCGTACTTTTCAAGCCCATCTTATGAACTATTGAATGCTTATGACGTGGGCTAGTTGGACAAATATCTCCAGGGCGTTGTCAAAGGGAAATCCACCTTTGGCGTCCTGCTCAATGAAGCCGATGATTGGTCCTAGCTCGGCGCTTATTACCTTAACCTAGGAGATTGATCTTGCTTACTAGATATTTCCTTTTTTTGATTTGTTGGTGGCCCCCAAGTATTCGAATTTCGGAAAGATGCCATGGATTTAGTCGTCTTGGCAGGCGACTTTACGTATGCATCTGTGTTCTTCCTAGGCTGCACTGCTAGCTTGTTCAAGTATCTATCGCACTTGCCAATTTTCATGAGCTTTTCAAGGTAGTTTTTCCACGTAAAGCAAGTTTCGGTCGTGTGACCGGGAGCTTGGTAGAATACACAATATTTAGTGTGATCCAACTTGGAGGTATCTCTCTTCATTGGTCATGGCAACAAGAACCATGGTTCATTCTTCAGGTCGCGGAGGATCTAATGGATTGGGATTGAGAACTATGTGTAGCTCTTGGGCATCGGGCCTCTACTTGTCAAGGAGTGGTCCTTGCGCTTGGCTTATGACTTGTTTTTGTCATTATACTGCTTCCAGTCTACCTTTTTTTAGGCTACTTCTGGCTCCTTTTGAGGCTGCTCGGGTGCTTTTTGGCTCGCCGTTCTTTCTCCCAAAGTGCATGCTTCTCTGCCAAAGCAAACGAGTTTGCCAGAGTTAGGTCTTTTCTTATGATCAATTCTTCAAGTAATAAATGGTCTAGTGTGAGTCTCTTCTGGAAGGTTGTATTGGCTATTGAGTTTTGCAGCCGACAATCTCGACCTTCTCAACCTTCAACCTCTTTACATAGTCAAGAAACGTCTCATTCGATTTCTTTTTTTCTTTATGTGGTAGCAGGGTGTAGAACCAGTCTCGAGCCTCACCTTGTAGAGTAGTGGCGAAAGTCTTGCACATGAAGGAGTTATTGTTCCTATAAATGATTATCGCATTGTGGTAGTGCTTTAAGTGCCTCTCTAAGTCTTCGTCACTCTTAAAATGGTGAAATACGGCATGTTAAACTTGGGCAGGGGCTCCGTCTGCTCGATCTCGCCTGTAAAAGTTTGTCTGCTCATGTTAGCTATATCTCTTTGGAAAACCTCATTAGTGGTTTCGATGCACTAAAAACCTCAATCGTTCAGCTAGTAATTTCTCTACTTCTTCCTGAATTTGCCTCTACTGGGACAGTAGAGCTTTCAGCTGCCCTTGGTGGTGATCTGCGAGTCAGTGTTACTCTTCTTCATGTTTTGCTCGTCTGTGCCAAGGCTACAGTGCACATGATTCATTTTTGGCTGGCAAGCGGGCTGCTCGTGGTTGGGCTTGGTGCAGGTTACTAGTTGAACTTGAGCCCGATTGGGTTACTTCTTCTCTCCATCTGGTGTGTTGCCTACTTCGATGTGAGGTGGAGGACGTAAAGTCTAGTTTTAAGTGTTTGGCTTTCGTTGTCAAACATTGTATTTGTGTACCATATGCCCAATTTAGTTCTAGACTACATTATCTGATTATGGGATGATGCTACTGGGATTAAACGTTCAAGGACGTGGCTCACCTCACGTCTAAGGTTTGTTCATGCATGTCTATCTCATATCTCTATCTGTATTGCATTCTATCTAGGTTAATTATCTAGTCAATTTTCCGCGCTGACTTCCAGCTATATAGGCATATAGATTAAGACAGCCCACATAGGCTGATTGACACATTTATGATGGTAGTCAGTTTCTGGCTATTAATTTGCCTAGATTTCTTTTGGAGTCGACAAGTGTCCTTGGGACAAGTTGGTTGACGAAAAATCAGATTTCCTTTGGTATATTTGTCTCTAGGGTTTCAATTTTCAATTTGGGGGCTCATAATTTATTTTAGAGAGAGAGTACCTTCAAAGATTTGAGCTTGCCTCTTCTTCATTTATGGAACCCTAGCTACAAAACCAACTTCATGCATAAAACACCCAATCATTGTATATTAGGGTTGCATTGTTTTAAGGTTTTGCATTATGTTCTTGGTTTGGTTTTAAGCTTTAAATCCATTTTTAGATCAAGTTTTTGGATTCAAGTTAGTTTCTTCCTTCAACTGTTTGACTGGATAATCTGACTAGTTATTTGAATCCAGATTTTATATGCATATCATATCATATCATTTCAGGATTTGAGTCGATATTGGTGCCACAAGGTGAAGAACTCAGGAGAAGCTGCCACTTAGTGAAAACCGAAAGAGTTCATCTCTTGTAAAACAAGGTTGCATAAAGATAAAGCTGCTCCGTAGATAGGGATCTAGGAATTGAGCTTGTGTGGTCTTTGTATAAACCTTGTTTACATTAGTGGATTGGACTTAGTGGAGAGTCCTCGGTTTTTTAACCAAGAGGTGGGTTTTTCCGGCCAAAAACCTCCCGTGCAATTTATCGCTTTTCAAGTTTACTTATCTTACTCTTTGATTGTGATATATATTCATCATTATTAGCAAATAGATAAGTCCATGTAACTCAGATTGTCAGAGTTAAAATGTGTAATGAATTGGATCTTAGTTAACTAGGAACACTTTAGTAAACTGAGTCTTGAATTGACTATTTTCGCTGTGAGTAAACTAACATATCTAATCTTAGTTGATGAGTGTTGCTGACTCGTCAGGCAAGCACATATATAGATTTTAAATTGTAGGTTATTCCACTTGGTAACAATTTCAGAGGATGCTCCTTGCGGGCTAAGCTGCGAACCAATGTTTTGCTTGAAATTTTGCCTAGGATGGTCATCAAAGTGTGCACCTAACCATGAATACACATTCACCCATGGACCTAGTCGGGAGTGAATGGTTATTTGTAGGCTGAGGTGAGATGTTAACTCAAGGGCCCAAGCGAGAGTGCACACTGTCAGAACGCTAAGTTCGTGGCTGCTTATTAAGACGTTGGTGGAACAAAACGTGGTCACTTTCCCTTGTCCTACTTTGGGATACATCGTCAAGAGTACGCTGAGTCTTGATGTGCTTCAAGAGCTAATTCACCAAGGTTATCTGCTGCACGAGGGCACTTTTCAAATATGCAACTTATTAAGATAGGTGTTGTTCGCCATTCGGGGTCAAAAATCTTAGATGGTAACATCTCAATAAAAAGTGGAAGTGTAATAGACTTCGAGTACAAAATTCGAGCTGGGACGAGTTAAATCTTCCAAAAAAAAAAAATGGAGAAAATACCTCTCGTTTAATCGCAGGCCAAATGGTTTGTTCGGCCGGTCTAGGAACTTGGAGCTAGGTCAGTTAAACTTGTCTAAGACTGGTCTGGAATACAGGCTAGGCTGCTGGAGTGGGCTGGGCAAGCTAGGCTCGAGCATGGGGGCCTACAACTAGGCTTGGGTTCT